GTAAGACAGTGAAACACTAAAAGTATCTACACTTTTAATACATTTATTTTATACTTATGAATTAATCAAAGGGAAATTAATACCAGTAATATGGCAGGCAGAATAGATCTCCCTTTTTTATACAAAAACAACGATGTCCATGTTTCCTATTTCTGACTCCTTCCCCTCAACATAAGCCCAAAGATTATACTCACTCTCACAAGTTTTCTGAAAATAAAGCAGCAAGAAGGAAACAACTTGCTAATCTTTAATCAAAATATTGTAAAATAAAGTATATATGTAAAAGAAAATATGCAAAACTCCCCATATGAGCAACTCTCACATATCATGTCCTACTCACTCCCCTTTCTCTAAATCACATCAAACCTAAAGGAACCTTAATTTTGTCATTCACATTTGTAGGGACCTTCCATTCTGTTAATCTCCATCAACCCTTTTTCTTACCCGTGTCAGTCAAAAGTGATTAAGAGAAGGCATTTCAGACTGCTAAATAAGAGACTTCTGAAAACCATCTATAAGCAAAAATCCAACATTTCCTATGAGCCTAATGTCCATCCATCAGCTTCTCAGCAGACAGTTCATCTCAGAGAACAACTTTCTATTCACGTCAATATCCCATATGCAAATAGCATGGACTTTCAGCCTTCCAGATAAAACAGAGCAGTCTTTATCAAGGGTCTTACTCCCGCTGGTACACACTTTGTTCCTTAAAGAAGAACAGATTGACGAAATGTCTAATCTGAGTGAGCTAATGTATTTCTACCTAAACAAATGTACCAAGAATGTTTCCAATCAAAAGTATTATGGTTGAACATAAACGTTGAATAGATTGTAATTATTTGTAAAGTGAAAATACTAATTTGAAAATATCCCCTGAAAACTATAGTTATTGAGCATTTTGCAGCCTTCCAATGTTAAGTTAACAATCCTGAAGTCTTAAAGAAGGAAATTTACACTCTCACTTATGCTTCTATGGCTTTGTACCAGTTCTGAATCTAGCTTACTGGATTATATTGCCATGAGCAAAATTGATATTATAGGAATGCTACTAATAAGTATTCCCAAACTTACTGATATTCTGCACAAGAACACCACAGGTGTTTTAAGATGAGCATCCAACAACTGCGCTACTTCTGATACAATCTGGAAAATTATGATTTGCATAAATATAAGATAGACTTTGAAATTCACATTCAGTTTCACTTTCGCTCTTTTAATTATTAATTTCTTGGAGACTTTTAGCTTCATGGGCAGTGAAACTTGCAGTTAATTAATGTCTGTGTCTGTGCCTAAGCACTTACATCCTCTCACAGGTCATCTGTGTTATTTGTCAGCTCAGTGCAGATGTCTTATGTCTTTGAGCAGGTAGCATGGATCAATAAGAAAAGCAAAAGGTTGACACTATCCACACTGTCCACTGCCCAAAGTTTCTCTTTGAAAGAGCTCTAGTCCCAGTCCACACACAGATACATATTTATAGCTGAAAAGTAATTCACTCCTCAAGCATCCCTCCCAGTTCAGTATCAACTGAAATTCATGTGCTCAGACTGATTTATTTTACAAACCAAAGACACTCCCCTTAAAGCTCTCCCCTTTGAAATGCTGATCCTGCTGTGTTAAAGAACATACCTTTAATCATATTTTTAGCAGCTTTTTGTATTCTGGTAACTTTGAAAAATAAAATAATAGTACAAAAAAAAATTTTTTTCAAAAAAAAATTCAATTCTGTTCAACGAATTTCTTTAGAATCCTTCAACATATTTAATCAGTCACGAAAATCATGCTTGAAACCTATGGAAGATCAAACTTGAATTTGTTTTCTCTAGAAAATATTTCATATTAAATATTTAAAAAATTAATCTCATTCAGTGTACTTTAGTTAAATCATGTTGAATTTTATCTCGTAACTATTTGCTGTCATATCTTGATTATTATTTGCAAATAATTACTGCTAAAATATTTGTTGCAATTGATCTTAAGCCAACATGCTTTTTGATATCAGGACATTATCAATCATGTCTTTTTCTCTTCATATCATTAGACAGAAAACTCTTTTCTACAGAGACACTAATTTCATGTGACAGTATTTTTAGAGTCCCTGTATAGACAACATTTATCTCCTTTATGTGATTACAATTAGTTTTTCTTAAATACAGTGATCTCCAAACTGTCATCTTGATCTCTCATCCATCCCTTCTCTATTGATTTGTCTATCATCATCTTTCCCTCAGTTTCTGATTAGTTAATAATTCAGGGTTGGTTTTTTTCCTGAATTATCCTTAATTCTACCCCAACCCCATTCTCCTCTTTTTACTTCCCTTTATTTATGAAGTTTCAAAACTATTTGCTGTGGTATTTTCTTATTAAAATATGTAGACATGCTACACGGGTGGTCTCTCCATGACTGAGAGATATTGACAGGGAAGGAGGAGAAGTCTATGTTCCTGCTGTGTGCAGCAAGTGTTATGTGAATAAAAAATCATTTCAATTTTCATCATAAGCAGACCTCTGACTTTTTTCCGAAACAGAAAAAGAGAAGAAAAAGGAGGACAGATGATTGCTAGGCACTTTAAGGAAAGTATTAATTTCTGAACCAAATAACTCACCAGCAAATGTGTTTGCAATTCCTATGATTGGACAATTACTCTTTTCCTCATGGAGGGCAACAGGTTTTAGCAAATAGAAATGTAATCGATAATATACATAATATTCATTAGCTAATCTCTTATATGTATCTAACCCTCTTTTCTTCCAATCTCAGAATGAAAAACAGTTATTGATATCAGGACTTAAGCTGTGTATAAGCTTTTATAATTTGCAAACACTAAAGGAATGTCCTTTCCTTTGTCTGATCCTGACAGACTGATGAAAATTATTGATGAAAACTATTACTGTTCTGCAAAGCCTATTGTCATACTAATGATAAGATGTCCACAGAGCATTGAACGTTGAGCATCTTGATAGGAAATCAAAATTTACACCAAGAGCAAATGAAGGAAGCTAGCATCCCTGTCAGCTTCTAAAGCAAGTGTTTCTTCAAAAGTGTGACACATCATAAAATTTCAGGCCTTTTTATTTGCTGGAAAAAAAATCCAAACTCTCAAAACTATAATGCAGAGACATTTGTTAAATATGATTATATTTTCTATAAAATTACCTGCAGACAAATAATGTCACTCTAATAGTGATGTATATTTGTTTAGAGCAAGACAGGATGCATCCTCAGGTTGTACTAGGGAACCTGAGAGCTGACATGTCCTTCTGCTGCCCCGTCCTTCTGCTGCCCCATTCACTTTTGTAGCTATTATTTTCTTCTGTCTCTCTGCTGAGAGCAGTGAGTAGTTTCATATCTGAAGTTAACCAAAGCACATTTTTCACTGGAATGAAATTCTGATTTCTTCACCACAATGTTTATAAACCTCAGACGATAAACCACCATTTTTTCACAGAGTCAGAAAATAGGGGATATTATTCTTTTTGTGAGGGAGAAAAAAAAGAAAAAGAAAAGAAAAAAAAAAGAAGATATGCTGTCTCATATTAGTGATTTAGTCTGAGCACATTATTGAATCTTAGGCCTTTGGTAAATCACTCCTAGTATAAATCAAAGGTAACTCAGTTTTGCACTTTTACACATCCAGCACAGAAAGAGAAATCCTTCCCTTTCCCAGCTGCTGAAGAGTCCAACCCAGACATGTTGAAAGAGCCATGCTCCTGGTTTGCTTCTGAAGAGTAAATCACAACCTTGTACCCTCAATGATTTTTGATCATAGACTCAACAGGGGACTCCCAGAAGAATGAATCAGTCACTACTGAACCGGATAGAAAGTCTTCTCTGGGAAAGTATATCTAAAAAGCCAACCATCACTGGGGAGCAGCCACCCATCTACTTAGACTCTCTAATGCAGAAGTCTTACCTTAGTTTTCAAGTACAGAAGGAAGTATTTCATCTCCTCCTCCACTTCTATGGGATTTTTGAAAGCATTTGCTGAGAATTATCTGTTTTCAGTATCCGTGGCTTGTGATGGGTTTCCACCTACATCTCCTAAGACCACTGAGAGAACCATAACTACTACCTAACCTGGGAAGGGACACAACACCTGCAAGGGCTTGGCTTAAATGCCATGGAAGAGGTTCTTATCTGCCTTTTAGGCTTGTAGTTCTCTGTCAGGAAAGGAACAATGATTATTTACTTCTCTTCCTGGACTGCAGCTTTATGATAGAATAAATTCAGGGGTTTTTTCATTTTAGAATAGTAAAAAAAGTGTTAATTTTCACACAACTTAATGGACTTTATGATTAATATTTTGTAAACAAAGACAAAATTTGAAACTCCTAAATGAGAATGGTTGAACATTCCTCATGAGTATGCTTCACTGGGGCTACTTGCCAAGAGGTGCAGAGGTGCTGCAATCATACAGACTCAAAGAAAAAAATAAAAGCCAATCTACAAAAAACAGAGATAAGTCCCTTTGCTGTGTAACAATACCATAAATTATATTTTTAGCAGACACAGTTAATATAATGGATTTTTTTTCTGACCTTCTTTTGCATTTTGCATTCCATTATTCTCAGATCTGATTTCTAAGGTCATTTTTTAATACATTGAATAGCCTGTGCTTGATATTGAAATAGGATTTGACAATAATGTAAGGATGAAACTTTAAAGACAAATTATGGAAGATTACCTTTTTTAGCTTTTCACAAAAGTTTTATTAAAATTCATCCCTAATAAGTGTCAAAGGATACTAATTCACTGATGCTTCCGAAATGAAAATTTTGAATTAAGGAAGGAGGAGTAAAATGTGTTTATTTCTTTTGAAACAGAATCTTCATCATGCCTTGCTACAGAGGCAGCAGCCCTCAATTCAATTTATTATCTCTCAAAGAATACCAGTATGGAATTTAGCTGCTAGGATGGGATATATATATATATGTGTATATATATATATATATATATATATATATATATATATATATATTTATCTATTTATCCTTCTCAGGATAACTATTCTACCACATGGGAGTCTACGAATTCTGAACGCTTCCAAGTCTGATGAAGGACGGTACTTATGCCAAGGTGTAAATGTATTTGGATCTGCAGAAATCATTGCATCAATATCTGTTAAAGGTATGAAGAAATAATTTGATGATGATGATGATTTGTCTTGACTAATATTTAAATAATAATTAGAATCCCCCAGCCAATCCCCCAGCAACAGGATTGTAGAGGCAGAATAAAAAGGCATTTCCAACATGTTAGGGGGACAAAACTCCATCTGGTCAAACATTGTATTCCTGCATCAAAATGCATATTCAGCTGTTATATCATAGATGTGTCGAAGAATTAGTATCTATATTAAATCGCTCAAATTATAAATAATTCTGTAAGTAAAAGAATCTAAACCCTTTAGATTTAAGGGATAATTGTTTTAATATAAAATCTAAAGAAAGTTCCTTAGAAGAGCAACAATAATCAATGCACTGAGTTGCAGTCCATTTCTAGGCCTTTTTTTTTTTTTTTTTCATTTTTTAACTGAATTCATATATGACTGTGGATTTTATTTATAGGGTTTTCTTGTAGGTTTTTTTACTTCGTTTTTCAAGCTTCTTCCTATATTTTGTAATCCAGGAAAAATCTCTTTTTATTTTATGTCACAAAACTGAAATTTTCATGCAATCACAATAGTCCAGGTGCTGCAACTTTACAAAAAATTAGTTGTTTTTTCCTGAAAATAATGAAATTTATTAATTAATCTACCTCAGATGTCCTATAGATTGTTGTTTAAGATTCTACCTTATTGCTTCCATGAAACTGTTTGTACCTTCTGAACCCCACTGTCTCACATCAGTGTACACTAAGAATATAGTTCAGTATTTGACAATGTGTATTTGAAACAAGTAGTACTCAATTATATTATTTTGGTCTAACACTTCCATTTAAATGTTCCTAATCCTTCTATATTTCAAGAACCTACAAGAATAGAGCTGACTCCCAAGAAGATAGAGTTAACGGTTGGAGAGAGCATTGTCCTCAGTTGCAAAGCCCTTCATGACAGCACACTTGATGTCACTTTCTATTGGACTCTCAATGGGCAGCCAATTGACTTTGAAAAAGAAGGTGGACATTTTGAAAGCATCAAGGCAGTAAGTGACCACGCACTTGTCATCTATGTGCTGTGAACTGATAGAAATTTGCATGCTTTTATATGTCTCCCATTTAATAAATTCTGGCCAAATTGAAAGGTTACTGGTTTCAGTAACACTGGAAAGAAATGTTAGCTAGAAGAGGTGCAAAATGCAGGTCACCAGAATTACTCCAAGTAATTTTTATCAAGGAGATATTAAATTTAAAGTCTTACATCCTATTATTAGTGATGTATCTGATAATATTTGTGAGGGAATCAAAAGGAGTTTTCATCAAATCCTACTTACATTCTTCTGCTGACTTTAATATAGAAAGGATGCTGCTATAAGCATTGATGTCTTTCTCACAGATAACATGGCTGTTGAAATGTTCTTACCTCCCAAAGCTTTACTTGCCTAGTGTATATTTTAATATCTGAATAGTAAAGACCATATTTTATTTATCAACTCTCCTGTATGCAGTACATTCTAACTGTGCAACCATTATTTAGGTCGATAAGAATCATATGGAAAAAATAGGCATACCAAGTTCAAATATTACCACTTGATTCAAAAGGAGTTTCATATATCCAAACAGTATGATAAAGTAATTCAAACCTGCCTTGTGTAAAATGGTTTGAACTTTTCTTAGTAGAAAGAAATCTTTAATGTGAACAAGTTTGGAAATAGAATCTACAGTCATTTAACTCAGTCTTCTCACTGATGAAATGTAAATCAAATGTCCACGCTATGTTAACAGGGAAAAATGGAGTTCACAAAGGAAAGATCAGGAAATTTTAAAACTTAATATATCCAATTTGAGCACAATGTAGCAAAGTTAACTGCATTAAAAATCTTGTCAGCTGCAATCAATTTATTAATCTTCTTGCCTTTATGGAAGTCATGCTGTATTCTCTTGGTGGTGAGTTGATTTTTTAAAATTTGAGTTTACTTCAATAAGCCTTTTAATTGAACAACATTAGTGATGTATATCTTAGTGTGAAAGTTATTAGCATAGTTATCTTCATTTGAGGAATATAATAAATAAAATGCAGCACTGAATGTATGGGAAGGAAAACTAATTTTTAAATTGCATGAGTCGATCCCAAACAAAATGCTTTTTAATGGAGTATGTTTAAGAAAAATAATATCTTTTGTGTGCATGAAGTCATACATCCATTTTTTCTTCACGCAGATATTTTGTCAGGTTTGCTTGGGGTTTGTTTATTCATTTTAAAGCCTGACAAATTGAACATTATTTGAATGGGTTCTAGTTCATAACAAAACCACTGTAAACCTCTCATCACTGCTTGCATTACTCATACTTTCACTGTGGCAGACCCAGGTGTTAAGTATGATGAGCATCCTGATGCTTAATGCAGTGTTATAAAAGCTATCACCAAAGTAACATTTATTTGGGCTATAGATAAATTTTCACTCACTAAAATTGCGTGCTCACTAGCAATTACAATTAAAAGGAAAAGCTTCTCTTAAAAAATCCATATTACTTTGCTTGTTTTTAAATTATATCTGTAGCTTTTATACCAAAAAAATAAGTGTTATCATTTTTCATACTGAAAAGTAATTTTTATACAAATTGAAAGTGTTTTTGCTGTTATTTACTGAGCTATCAAGGATTTAGTACCTATAGCAATTTAGGTACTTAAAGGACTGGCAAAAAGGTGTGGTAAGGATGTCGAGTTGAACAAAACTGTGCATGAAGGGAATCTTAAGGAAAAGGGATCAACTGAATTCAATTGGACTGACAGCTCAGACTGTAATCTAGGAAAGGAAATCATCCCAAATCTTATGGATCCATAACTCCACAGTGCATTTGGTAGAAAAACAATAATGCAAGGGGTCATATAAACCTAGCATCCTTTGGCATCATTAAAGTCTTACTTTTTCCAACAACAGACTTAATAACATTTTAGGTTTTGTGAGGGATTATCTGTGTGATTAATAGAAATTTTGCATGCAAGTCTGAATTTTCAAAATTTCCTTCTAGCAGCACAGTGAGCCCATGAGCAAGGAAAATATGGACCTGTCTGTTTTTCTGTCCACTGTACCAAATCTAGAACTCCTGTTCAAAATTCTATTCAAAATTTTCTTTTCTAAGATCTCCACGGACCTTAATTTTCTCATGGAGGTATCTATTTTTTTCTATAAACACCAGATTTTGTCAGTAGATTTTCATCCAACTCTTGTCGTTCCAACTCTGTGTTTGAAGGCCAATATTGTTTTTATGGGAGCCAAGCAAAATGATTTACTGCGGTTATCCACAGCCTGGTGAGCAGTAGCTTTGCTCGTGTCCCTCACCTTCACCTGCACAAGTACTTTTCAGACTCGGGAAAGTGATTTATTCTCAATATCTCCTTGGTCTTTGATCTTAACTGAAACTGCCACGATAGGAAGCAATAAGTTCAACTTCTCATGATATATTTTAGAGTGGTCATTTGTTCACATGGAAGTGAATTGAAATCTACTGTTTCACTTAAAGAAGGCCAGATAAAGGGTGGACAATGCCTTTAAGTACCACCTAGCCCTGGAGAAATACAGACAGATAATTTTTACACTGGTTTGTTCTTTTAAGGTGTTTTGTACCTTTCCTTGTTTACAAAGAAATGTTCTAATGAAAAAATCTTGGGACAAATAACAGATATTTCATGACAGTCCATTCTTTTCCCTGTTTACTTGCAGCTGATAGATCATTTAACTGCATGGCACAGTGTTATCCTGGGCTATAACAGCACGGCAAATTGTTTGAACAACTGATCAATATCAGCCTTCTTAATGCTACAGCCTTCCATTTACAGCTCTGCTACCTGTGTTACACTTGCAGCTCTGCAGCTTTTCTCCCCAGCTGCTGTGGCAGTGGTTTCTGGAGCTTTCCTAGCAGTATTTCTCCCTTGCCGTTCTTACTAATCTCCTGTTTTTGTTCTTGAGGCCTTGCACCTTCAAACTCCAATCATGTTGTTACAGGGCAGCATCATGGGAAGAAGCTCCCACTGTCCTGAAACTCACCCCTACCTCTTGACCCCTTTCTTTGTCTTTTGTTTTGTAAACCAAGTCACAGCATGAGGAAAGTAGATAATAGTCACATAAATACTTCACAAGTATTATCCAGCAGTATATGTAGACAGAAGCTTAGCAATCAATCACTGCTCAACAACTGCTCTTCTTTAGTATATTCCAGTTAATATTAACAAATAGGAAGTTTAAGCAGATCCCAAAGAAAAGATTTCAACACTAGGGGAAAAAAAAAGGAAAAGAAGTAATCACCATCATCTTCCTCATTGACACTTACTGAACTGGAGGGAGCCTCAAGAGGAGAATATTCCTTCTGGTTGGCCACCAGGAAGAGTCTTACATTTTCCTTTTCCCTTGCTCCTCAATGTGTTGGTTTTTTATTTAATTTGTCACGTAGTTGGCTTTCTTTGCTAAAGCTGGCATGTACCACCATCTACAGACCCTGCTAAGAAATCTCTGGCCATGTAAGGCTGTCATAACACTCTTTTTATGTAGCAGATTAATGAAATCCCAATCACGTGTTTGCTTTTTGTGCTCCTTGTTTTGATGCTTTGTCAAAATAGCACACTTTTCCCATATGGGTTTTGCTTTCATTGATGTAACTTTCTTCATCATTATCACCAACCTTTCACTCCGAGCATATGTGTACCCTGATGCTCTCTTTTTCTCCTCTTTCTGCATCTTTGAATAGAAGCTCAGGTACTACATACTATTAGGTCTTTTCTTCCTTTTTTCTCCTGGTAATAACATCTCAGATATAGAACATGGATTTAACAGCATGAGTGTGGTGGGTCTCTCTGTCCTGAAGCTTGCCATTTCATATCCCACCTCTTTTCTCATTCCTTCCCACTCTCAATGCTTTTTTTCTGTGTTTTATTTAATCCCTAGATTTCACAAAACCACCGCAGTACATGACATACTATCTGAAAACTGATATTCATTTATCTGTATCTGTTTTTCTACCTCCTCTTGATAAAATCAATCACTCATTTGCTAAATCCAAGCTGCACTTGAGATGCACTTGCAGCATCTCAAGCTGACTCAAATCCTCCCTATCCACTCCCAACATCCCATCACTCTCTGACATCCACTCAGCCACCAGTGCTCACCCAAAACAACTGTTTTAATAATGCTTGCCTTGTCTACACAAACTGCTCAAAAATACTGCTGCTGGATAGGTCTAAACTTCCCCTGGATTCCACACTTCTTTATGGATTCACTTCTTATAGACAGGGAAAATGTAAGTTGTGTTTTATGAGGTGTCCCTCAGTCAATCTGCATAAGTCTAGATATTACAATAGTACCATTATTATGCTACCAAGTACTGTTAATCACAACAAAACCAGGAAAAATTATTTCATCTTCTTTGCTCCAAATGTGTTTATATGATTAAAAGACAGAATTCAGAATATAATTTTCCACTATCACTATATCAACTAAGAAATCTGCTGCTTCTTTGGAGATTAAATATTTGCAAATTTTAATCATCATAAGCAGTACACAACCAAGTGGCTGATGTGTTCAAACTTGAGAATTTGCATGAAATGGCACTGAAATCGTCCTGAACACATTATGGACAGAATTTGGCTTGAAGCCAGCAATCCATCATAATGTACATATAAATTGTCAGCATAATTTAAAAGGGCTTTATTGTATTGCGGTTTTTCACTTACTTTTAATGGTATAAAGATAAAATTGCATGAGGTTATTCTGTACAATCATTAGTTTCCTTCAGATAAATTCACTAAAAATAAACTCCGTTGCTATTCCAATATGGCAAAAAATCATCTCTGAAATAATTTTCAATTTAATCTATCTGAATTTCATTAATAAAGGCTGCCTTGCCTAACCAAATAATGCATGAGTCAGGAATTCACCTAACCCATGTGTTATATACAAAACCACCCACATATTTTAAATAATCATTTAAGTTGAATAAGATATCACTAACAACGCAGGTCATTCTTGTTTAGGATCAAATCTCAGTCCTGTTTACTAACACAACGTTGTTTTACTGCTCTCAGTTTATACAGAATATAGCTTTTTCAGGCTTTTCGTACCTCCCAAGCATTTCTCTGTATAGAAACCACTTTGTAGGAAAGCATCCTCACCTCTCACTGTCAAGAGATTTAAATGACAGCCAGCAAGCTTCAATAAACCCCTCTAGTCATAGTAAAGAAATGACTCAAACACCCTTCAGACTTTCATCATAAACGTTTTCCTGCAATGGCAGTCAGTGTTTGTCCACTCTTTTTTTCCTGTTGATTTAAGCTTTTGTGGAATCATGATCATCTGTAATAGTCTCACTACTATTTTTAGGCATATTCTTCCTAAGCGACGAAACAGTATGTTATCCAGATGGAGTTTCCATTCTGAATCCTCTGCACAATAATAGGCAGACTTTCTTGACCTCAGACCCAAACAGTGCAGAAGCTCAGTGTTGCAGGTCACCATGTCATCTCTGCTGACTACCCAGTATTATGAACTTCCTTGGCTTTTTGTCCCTCTTTCCAAGATAAATCAGAGCTACATGCAAAGAACTACAGTTGGAGTGTGGAAGGAAGGAATGATTTTCCACAATCAACGTGGAAAATAAGCAGCAAAATGAGCAAAATAAATGAAAGCTGAGATTGATACAATAACAAGAGACTGATAATTCATATGATTCTGTAGTTTGAACATACATGATAAACTGTAATAATCAACCCAAAGTGTAATTCCTCCATGGAAGAGGTAAGGAGAAGGGAAAAGAGGCTTATTAAATGTTAGGAAAGTACTCTAGGGTGTAACTGTGAGCTCCACTTCAAATGAAGGCAGATTAGAGATAGTTCGTATGCAAAGCCTTTGGAAGAAAAGGTTGTATACTGAATGGACCACCTCGGTTTAGAGATGAAAACTCAGCAAATGAATGGACAGATTAACAGAGAGGTTTCCTAGCAACTGGCTCAGGATAATGAACTCACTCTTATAGGAAGAATAAGTTTCTTCACTCGAAGAACTGTATGTAAAAGTTACTTTATTGCAAAGCCACTCCAAACTCTTATGGTTTATGAAATGGAAAGGAAAAAAATTCACATATGACTTCCTCTCTGTGGGGATGTGGGATGACTGAAGAAATATTAATTCCCCAACAGTAAATTGTCTAAAAGCTGACTTTTTTTCCTCAGCAAATCCCCAGCATTAGGGCAATGGGTGCAAAAGACAAATCCAATGTGATAATTCTTATTGAGCAAGGCATGCATATTATATGTTCCTTGGGGACTTTTTGAGTTTGGGGAAGTATCTCCACATCAAAAGCAAACATTAATGTATATTTGGCACTAATTTTTGCAAAAAATTCTTTCAAGCGATACCTTACAGGGAGAGCTAGTTAGATATATTGCAGACATGGCTATGACTTCAGATAACAGGCCACACTGGAGCAGAGAAAGCCATAGATTGACACAACATTCAGCACTGAAGCTGCCCAGAACCACATGAATGGGGTGGTTGGAAGCATAATATGAATGATACAATAATTTGTTGTCTTAGAGAGAAACACTACTCATGACAGATAGCTTTGATATCTGTATTATTATTTATTTGCTGCTTAATGAAGACCAGCAGTATGTTCAGTGTTACAGTAAGTCCATAGCTGATTCTGGTCTTGAAGATTACACTTAGCTCTCCTGAAAATCATTGAAGATTGGTTGTTGAACCTATCTGTTTTTGTTTATTTTAAGTTTTAGCTTCAGTAAAGTACAACATATATTTCACTGAAGTTTGTATGAAAAAATACTAGTACTTTTGGTGTTTGCTTAAATGGGTAATACATGATACTCAGAATACCAAGGAATATGGATTTTTCTAATAAAATATTACTTCTAAATAGTGCACTTCTTGCAAAATATTCCCTGTGACAGAAGAACAAAAAATTGATGAAATAAAAATCAACTTTTAAAAATGTACACCTAATAGTGTCAAAATTTAGATGCGGACAAAGAAATTTAAACATCAATAATTTTAGCTTTGAGTAAAATTTGGACCACGTGGTTGCTGTTCTAACTCATTTTAGTCCAGGTGAGAGATCTTTCTGCACTGTTTACATCCATGTCATACAGTTTTTGTCTTCCCAAAGGGGAGGGGGTGTCTCTGCTTTTGCCTAAGCACCATGTCTTTTTCCACTGAGAGAAGACTAAAAGCAGACCTTGGATACTTTTCTTAAAGGAGTCTCAGCTGCATTCCCACTTAGCAGGTTTTTTTAAACTGAATTGTAATTGCTCAAGTTTAAGCACCACTGCAATGACAAGGTGCAGAGGTTTGCTCAAGATGTAGAAGGCCAGCACATCAGTGGCTTCCTTCAGACCCTGCAACTACTGCCTATAACCTGCCATTACAGGATAAACTACTTAGGAAAACAATCTGTCTTCCAAGACAGTCTGTAAAAGTAATAAAGACCACTTTATAAATGCCACTGAACAGCAGTAATGAGGTATTTTTTTAGGGTCCTGGTCAAACATAGCTCCTACTTATCAAAATGTAAGCTAAAATGTCTCATTATTTCCCGTGATCAAGAATCTAATGTCTGAGCATATATCTATATGTATTAAACAAAGTAAGTTTAATATCTTTCCACTCACTCATCCTCAGCAATGCTGGCTGCACATCCTGTTACACTGCAATAAAAGGGTTTCATGGGGATCTATTGTACTGCACTGCTCTCCACTTGAAGCAATGATTCTTTCAATTGTTGCTTGTCTGCCCAGTTACATAGATATGCAGATGAAATAGGATTCACACTGTCATGAACTCTCTGAACCTAAAGTTAGAGTGACAGCCAAGATTTCTAACAGCTCCTGAGCAATGAAATCAGACAGTTGCTATCCATTATGCTATTCCTCCCACTTAAAAACAAAACAAACATTAAATGTAAGTTACCCTCAAGAGAGGACAAATGTGGACTGATTCTGGTCTTATCCTTATAACTAAGGCTTTGTGCAAAGATCACTTGTTTGAATAGCTAGTATGTGCTGCTGTGTTAGATGACTCCAGGTAGTAGGATATTCTCTTTTTTTGCATTTTGATCTGTGGATAACTCAGATATTCTTTTCCACTACTGTGATTTCTGATATGCCAGAGCAAGAATATAGGAATTGCATTATGGCCTGACTGGTCTGAGTATCTTCCCTCCAGCAACATCATTATCTAGGCCACTTCAGAAGGCAAAACACTCCCACAGTAATCATAGATCTACAGAGTTATTAAGCTATAGATCATGCCTATATTCACTCTGGTCTCAGAGGCAGCCTTGATGTCCCACCACTCTTTTCTTTATTTGCATGTGAATATCCCTCAGTTAAGATTTTGCCTTAGTGCTGCATGGAATATAATGGCAATTTTAGTTACAAAAATGCAAATGAAGAGAAGAATGGCTGAAGAAGTTATGCCAAGATGTGCTGAAAAGGAATTCTTCTGCCTAAGAAGAAAAAGCTAAATTATAGAAAATTAAATCTTGAAATGAATCCTATTTCCTTATGTCATTAATGACCTTGGCATAAGAGATAAAAGTAAGCAAATGACAATTGTACGGTACAAAATTGGACGTCTTACAAACACAGCAGATGATGAAAATAACAGATGGGAACAGACAAGATATGTAATAATACAAAGCACAAGGTCATCCACACATGAATGACTGGTTGTAAACTGGGAGCTCCTAACTTTCAAATGATTGAGAAGGATAAAGATTTGAGTGTATCTACATGAGCACAGAATAAGTATGTGCCAAAAAAAAAATCAAATATAAAACTAGGTCAGTGACAAATTTCCAGCTAGAGAAGTATCAACACCAACATCCCTAGTAAGACTCTATTTTGAATGCAGGGTACAATTCTACTCATTCAGGATCAAAATTACTGAAATTAGATCCATCGCATGGGACAGAAACATATAATTCAAGGAAAGACTGTCAATCTCTGCTTGGTTAGCAAAGTAAACAAAATCTGAAAAGGGAAATGCCTACATTCAATAAATGTTTCTTAGAGCGAAACACCGAGGATTGACTATATTAAATCAACAGTATATATGGACTTGGGTTCCCTAAATCTGATGGAGCAACACTCATTGTCTCCAGTAATTTTGGATATAACAATTTTTTACATTCAAAATTTCATGTTTTGAAATAATACAGAGCTTTTTAGGAAAAGCCATTTATTCTCCATAAGTCTACTGTACTTTCATATTTTCTCTTTTCTGCTCATAATTTTGGGACATTGTAATTTGATAGAATCCTTAAAAATAAATATTTGAACTGGCTCTCCCTTTATATTCTATATATATTTTACATGTTTCAGATTGAAACACATACAGATTTCAACAGGAAGGATAAGAATCTGTTCATATTTTCTCAATTACATTTAGCATTAACTTCCTCTACATTAATAAAAATCAATCAATATTATCTTTAAAGTTATCTCAATTTCAGAAGAGGAAGAAAGTTCTGAAATTCTAATAGGACTTTTTTAATACCAAGGATGGCATCCAAAATACTTCTGTTCATCTCTTTAATGAATTTCTTTGTACTAGTTTGGAATAATTCTCTTTGAATGTGTAAATATGCACAATGTGCTTTAAGCAAAGTCAAAGTTATTAGAAAGCTGAAATCCTCTTCTTTAATCCCTATTAATAATTGTATAAATGCAGTGTTCTGATAATCCTCACAAGAGGGTATTAGGGCACATACATTTTGAAAGATGAAAGATGCATTCAAGAGTTGCTCAAACCTTACAAAAACACCCTTGTGAACTACCTTGAACACAGATTTACTGAGTTTTAAACTGGCACTTCATCCCTGTTTCAGCAAGCATCCTCTGCAGATTTGATGATCAGGAACATCCTCCTGATGCACGCTGGGAGATACGGTTGCAGGGTCCAGACTGCAGCGGATACCGTGTCGGATGAGACGGAGCTGCTTGTTAGGGGTAAGTATGCTTGTGGTGACCCCCTGAAAACATAATCACTGGACACAGTTGTACCAGGGAACTTAAATATGTGGGCTTCAGGGACGCCTCTGCCTAGTCCTAAAATTTTATACTATTGAAGCCATTTGTGATTAACTTACTGCCTTTGGGGGCAATTTCATCTCAAACTGACCTGCAGACATTGGAAAGAGAAACAAAAGACAGTTGGTTAATGGACATGGTTTTAAGAGAGATAACAGCACAGAAGGTATTCCAGATCAGCTAAAATGCAGACAATTAGCATTCACAGACCTGTGTAAGGTAGGTATAATGAGTTCTGTGCTTTTTTTGTGTGATGCCTTTACATTTCATCTTATGGTCAAGCCATTCTCTCAGGTTTAGCGGTTAACAAATATTTATTTTCTAAGAGAAGGGACCATACAACCTTTGGTAAAATTATGGATATGAATTATGAAAGAAAAACCCATATTATGACAAGAATTTGCAGGTTTTTTCCACACATGGAATTTTAACCACCAACTGCTGACTCTACTTTAAACCCAGTTCTGTAATCTGTCAAATTGCTTTACCTGTCATTTAACATTCCGGATTATGCATAGGAACAGAGTACTTTTCCTGCAGTATTGCAGACAATATCAAGGACACCAACTAGTTTAAAATAAAGCAGGGCACTAACACTCATGTGCATTCCATTAAGCAGAGTATTTCTGCATTCTGGACCATTTGTGTCTCCATGTGGGCTTGTGTGTATCCACACACCACACACACAAGTGTGTGCTCAGTGCCTGATGGGATATGACAACCCACAGTCCACTTACTAGCATTACAATTGGTGGATTCTGTAACATTAAGAGAGATGGAACTAATTAGATATTATAATCTTTCAAAAATACTTATTCTATAACATTGAACAACATCTTTCGATTTGATGTGTTCCTATCCATCACTTTTAGGACAAATATATGCTTTAAACGATAAGGAATGTTTCTGGCTGACTGCAGGCCTTTTCACATTTTGATGAAAGTAATTGTTAAATATTTCCATAAAGACACTTTGAGGATTGTCAGATTTCTATGAGCTATGGCGCTATTGGGATGGTGGTATTCAGTTGACTCATCCCAGACAGGTAATACCATTTTAGTTGCCTTATGAAATCTGATTCATCCTTGTGGGTTATGCAAGACCTTATGTGTCACCTTTGGTATGTCTCAGACAGGAGCTGGAAGCTCTATGGATAGACAAGGCAATCTCAACTTTAATGCCAGTGAACTTCATAAGGACAAAAATCTCTTAGTCATTATCTAGGACAGACTGATCACAAAAATATTTTTTAAGAATACTGGGTTTATAAATTATTTAATTGAATTTGCTCTACAAAGTCAAAGCTTCTCTGAGTAAGGGGTTTGAGATTAAAAAAAAAAAAAAAATATGGCACTGTAAGCAGTATCAGAATCTAACTGTGTGTCTCATTACCATGTGACCATGCTGTTGAAATAAAAACAATAACTGCTTTTTAATGGAATTTAAATTCATACATAATTTGCTTACAATTTTCTCCTTTTCTTGTTTCCATGATGGGATAATTGTAGGATAGAGTAAGAAATGTTTACATCACTTTCACAAAATTATTTTTATTGTGTAACAGCTTTTGTCCTGATGAAAAATTCTGGTTTTATGAAATTATAGGATATGTTTGCTCTGCTGAAGTCATTAATTTCCTTAAGATATCTGTAAAATTTATACAACTGAGGGTAATACAGAGTCAGTATTGCTTTCACCAAGAAATGTAGGACAGTTTTGTTTTGTATTGCATGAAAAGTTTAAAGCACATTCAGTGTAGAGTTGGTAATGATTAGTCCTTATAGACTTCAGTAGTTCAAAATTCCAAACTATTTATGAGAATCTAATCTATCTCTCCTTATACTTTTACAGGAACTTCGTTTTCATTTCAGTATCTCTAATTCGTTTTCTATCCCTTTCTCAGTCTATAGAATGCACTCAGGGGTGAGCAATTTTGACACTGGTGATCCCAGACTGCAGCACCTTTCAGACTTCTTTAGGTTTAACTTTTGGTGTTACCAGACATTGTTTAGGAGAAGATACCAGCAGATTTTTCAATAAATATTTCAGTAAACTGAAGAATTCCATCCGACAAACGAAGTCATCACCTGTGAAGAAAATCCATTGCTACTATGCAGTAAAGTCTGTAATCCAAAGCTGTATTATTCTTTATATTCTGTATGGTTTCTAGTTCAAATTTCATTTTGTGCATATTACAAAACCTTCTTTTTCTTTAAATGTTACAGCCCGTGGCCAAACTGAAATAGCAGAAGCTTTGTATGAACTCTTATACATACTGATATTAGCAAACTTACAGCACATCCTTGTTCTGACCTTACTCTCTCTCCTTTTCCCCCTGCAGAAAATGCCAGTTTTGAATACTGATAATATGATACCAGCATATAACAGCATTTCAATCATTACTCATATTGTAAGGTTCATCTGGTATTTTATATAAATCATTGTAATTCTTTCTTTAAAATTTTTTCTGCTTACAACATTTCTACAGGAAATAAATTGGACATACAGAATAAATTAGACTAAAATAATCTGATTTTCCCTCCTTTAGATATTTATGAATATCAGAATAATGCTATTAGCAAACTGACCAAATTTATGCTGAATTATGCATTCAACTGTTTCATTATTTTTAATCCAAGGACTGTTTTGCAGAACTTAATTACAAGTGACTTGTTGCAGTCTCCTCAGATAGAGGAAGGAGAAACAAACTCTGTTCAGACTTCTGTTGCTCGTAACTATCATTGTGATCTTAACAGATAGAAATTCATCACCATGTTTTTAAGCAAGTGCAATGTCTCAGTATCATTTATTGTGGGGAAAGCATGGAGTATCCTTAAACCATATTTATCTTTTTTGCAACTATTTTTGCTAGTTACTCTATTGGAAGTTCTCCTGAACACATTCCAGGGCACTAACTGTGTCATTATTTTTGCCCTTGTTCTCCCTGGCTCTGCATTATACAGTGGAAGTAAAATTACAAAAATAGCATCCATGAAAGACTATATGGAGAACAGAGAATGAATAATGCCATGTAAATCTCAATTCCTTTGAGTATAATTACATGCAAGAAGGCAATTAGTGGTGCAAGAAGATTTGTGGATTTACTACATACGTATGTGTATGTGTGTGCACGCACACATGTAAGTGTGAAAAACAAATTAAGGTAAGAGAGTACCAAGTTTCTGGTCTTTCTACAATGTGTTACAAAATTTTTAAACCAAAATATAAATGTTCAAATTCACTACCCCACAGGTCTTGAATTTAGGTGAGTTGCAGTGAAATACATGCCTAATATTATTTCAATAACAATTTTTACCTAGTGAATCTCTTTCAGGAACATTACATAAGTATATATAAAAAGACATTCTAGATCATGCTTGGACAAAATCAGGATTCAAGTCCCATCAGCACTTATTACTCAAATGTAAATACTTCTTTAAGTGCTTTGAAAATGTGATTAAACTATGTATATCAAAGTAAGAAAAACTTTTTAGTAGTCCCTAGCAATTTCTTCTTTCTAATGCTACCAATAATGTGAATTGTGGATTTCATTAAGAAGAGATGTTCTGCTAGCAGCTGGGCCTGTCAGGTACTACATTAGCTTTCCAGCTTAAATGTCTTGCATTTTAATCTTGGAGAGGGTTGTGAATGAGAAGTATTCTGGTACTCTCATGATAGTCAACGGTAACCTTCAAAGGTGAGCTGTCCTGACATACCTGACATCATCTGTTTATATTCAGGTAGGCTATCACCTAAGTAGCAAAAGCATTTCCTCTCCAAAGTATAGCTCTGCAATTCATCATCACAAGTTGCTTCTATTATTAGGTACTTAAAAAAATAAGTCATGATCTTTTATTCATCCATCTGAGATCCAAGATCCCCTCTAGATACACACACTGAATCTGTGGAGGTCCCCAGAGAGGTCCTTTACTCCCTGAATATGGGGAGGATGAGAGAGAGGATTTAGATCAAAGGCCAGAATTGATTTAAGGTAGAAGAAGCAATGTCAATCACTTACAACTTAGCTCAACAACTGCAATGGTCATCTACGAGGTAGGATACCTCTTTTATTGTGTCTCAGACCCGGACTTAAAATCACAGTTTCTCCTTAAGAGCATGCTATACCTGCAGGTAGTTGTTAGGTGGGATCAGAGTGTGTTCAAGCCTCTTTCTGAGGCAGAGGAGCCGGGAGCACAGAAATCAGGTGATGAACAAATGAACACCTGGATGTGTAGGGCACAATTTAGGACATCTCCAGCAACCCAAATATTTGTTTCTTCCATTGAGTTTAGTCCTGCTCTAAAATTAAACAGAGATTTTCTCAGGGGAACCTATCAATGGCTTCAGCCAACACACTGAACTGTGTACCAGAAAAAGTTAAATAAAAGGCATGCACCCTCTTCACCAGATTTGCCCTCCATCAGGGCAATGATGCAGATAGTGTTAAAACCTTGAATGCCACTGCAATATTTTTCTGGAAGACAATCACCAGAGCCCATAACAGCAGAAGAAGCTATTTAAGCTGATACACGTCAAGGACAACCAGAAGAGAGCACAGAGTCTGGTAACTATTCTAGCACCAGGCCTGCTCAAATGTGCTACTTCAGTGCAGTCCTTTAACAAGAATTATGTATGTCTGACGATCAAAGAAATAGTTTTAGTGGAAATGAATGAATACAACAAAAATCACAGCTGTGGACTTAGATTCCTAACATCTAAGTCATTTCCTGATTTCATTTCATTTGTGTCTTCTGTTGTTTGATCACCCAAGGAAATTATGTGCAGCATACCTGTTTGCCATGCAAACAAGGATGTTTACAGGAGAATATAGATACTCGCTACACAATCAACAAATGTTTTCCTCAGAGCATGAAGTCAAAAGCTATTTAAGAAGCAGAAGTGATTTATGATTTTTATGA